TGATGGTGTTGTTAATTTGTGTGTTTTTTCCTTCTTTTGTTGCTGTGAGACCATCAATTGTCTGTGTTTTTGTTGATGTAACCATCTTCCTTGGGTTGGATTTTTTTTTCTAGTGCTTTGTGTAGGACTGGGTTTGTGGCTAGGTATTGGCTAAATCCGGTTGTCGTGGAACATCTTGTTTTTACTTCTATGGTGATTGAAAGTTTTGATGGGTATAATGGTCTGTGCTGGCTTCTGTGGTTTCTTAATGTCTGCATAATGCTTGACCACGTCCTTCTGTCTTTCATTGTCTCTAATTAGAAGTCAGGTGTACTTCTGATAGGTCTGCCTTTATATGTTACATGGCATATTTTCCTTTGAAGCTCTCAATATTCTTTATTTTGGATGTTTTGTGTTTTGATTATTATGTGTCGAGGGAACTTTTTTTGATCCAGTTTATTTGGTGTTATACACGCTTCTTGTATTTTCATATGCATTTTTTTAAGTTGAGAACGTTTTCTCCTATGATTTTATTAAATATATTTTCTGTTGAATTGGGCTTCTCCTTCTATATACCTATTATTCTTAAGTTTGGTCTTTTCATGGTGTCCCATATTTTTTAGATATTATGTGTTAAGCTTTTGTTAGATTTAATGTTTCCTTTGACTGATGAGTCTATTTCCTCAATTGTATCTTCAGCACTCAAGAATCTGTCTTCCATCTCTTGTATTCTGTTCTTTATTTTTGAACTTGTGGTTCCTGATTATTTTCTCATGATTTTTTCTATAATTACCTTGGCTTGTGTTTACTTTATTGTCTCTATTTCAGTTTTCACATCTTGAATAGTTTATTTCATACATTTGATTGCTTTTTCATAGTTTTCTTTTATTTATTTTTTTAAAATTTTCCACTAAAATATTTACACTTCCTCTCCTCCTCCCATTCTTCTCTCCCCCACTCACTCTCCTCCCTCCCTCTCCCTTCTTAAGAGAGGGCAGGGAACCTTGCCCTGTGGGAAGTCCAAGGCCCTCCCCCCTACATCCAGGCCTAGGAAGCTTTGAATCCAAATAGACTAGGGTCCCAAAAAGCCAGTACATGCAGTAGAAACAAGTCCCAGTGCCTTTATCAATGGCTTCTCAGTCAGCCCCCATGGTCAGCCACATTCAGAGAGTTCAGTTTGATTGCATGCTCATTCAGTCCCAGTCCAGCTAGATTTGGTGAGCTCCCGTTAGAACAGGCACATTGTCTCAGTGGGTGGACCAACCCCTCGCAGTCCAGATTTCCTTGCTCATCTTCTCCCTCCATAGTTTTCTTTAAGGAATTCTTTAAGGGATTTGCTGATGTCTGTAACACCCGGTTTTGGTGTTACACCCTCGGTACAGCTTTCGTGTCACTGTACCGAATGCGAGTCGGGCAAGGCCTGGAGGTTAAACACAAGACACAGAGAGACCAGGGTCATTCGATAGGAGATCAAGCACTAGGACCCCCACCCAGGCAGGTGGGAAATTACCATATCAACAATGGAATGAATGCCATGCAGCTAATCACCAGGCGGGGCAGGGGAAAATACAGGAACTTAACCAGGCGGGGCAGAACGCTAGTCATCTGACTAGAAACTTTATGCGCCCCATGAATAAGGGCTGAATGCTTGGTCATGTTGACCAGAAATTGTCCTCGAGATGTGCCCCAGGAATAAGGGCAGACCAGGGCCCTACAGATGTCTTCCTTTTTTTGTCTTTCCTCTATTTCTTTAGGGAATTTCTCATTTCCTCTTTATGAGTCTCAAACATTCTACTGAAGTTATTTTTTTAGGTCATTTTCTTCTGCTTCATCCATATGTGGTTGTTCAAGTCTTGCTGCTGTAGGGTCTCTGGCTCAGTCTTCTTTTCAGTTTTTATTAACAGAGTTTTTCAGTGTTTGTATTTAGTCCATTGTTTTTCCCTGGCACTCCTTGATAATGTTGACTAAGGCTCTGCACCTCTCCTTACACTGCCAGTTTCTCATAGCAGGGAAGGGGATGGGACAATATAAAACCAAAAAGTTAGAAGTCACGTACATCCCATCATTTAAAAGTTAACTCAGCTCACATCAATCTCTAGTCATGAATGGCCAGGGTAGGTATCTAAAAGCTGATCTTCAGTTTGCAGAGGGCCACTTCAGTCTTGCAGACGGAGCTATGGGTTGTAAAGCATAGTAACCTACTGTTAAAAGTTAATCCTTAAACTGCTAAGAAAACTGCCGACAGCCTGCTCTCATTCTCATAGGCTTACAACTTTATATTCTTCATTTCTACATTTTTATTTCTGGAATCTACACTTTTATATTCTTATTCTTGGACTCTTCATTCAGAATACAGGTGGTGCCAACTTAGGATAGTTCAACCTAGACAACTATACAACAGAATAAAAGTGGTACGCACTCAGCAGAAACTGCACTTTGATTTTGGATTTGATGCTTTTTTTCCATCCTGGTCATATACAGTGAGTTCTCCTGTGATACTGAGCAGTGATGGAGGTGGTGAACCTCAGGACCATGTCAGCCATGAAATTACAGGGGGAATAGTGAGCATTCCAGTGTTCTGCACCTCCACACCATGGCACTCCATGCTCAGATGTAGTAAATGTGTTGGTTTGTTTGCCTTTCTAGTGCTAAAGAATTAGACCCAGTGCCCTGTGTACTCTATGCAGTGCTTTCCCTCAGAATTTTCCCCAGATGTTCCCCTCTAATTTTTTTAAAAGATAAATGAATTTATTTGCATGTATATGAATTCATATGTGTCATGGCAAGTGCAATAGTTTTAAATGTCAACTTAAGTCAATTTAAACTTATTTGGGAAGTCTCCATGAGGGGTTAGATTGGATTGGCATGTGGGTGTGTCTGTGTGCCGGGTTCTCTGGCAGAAAAAGAGGACCCCCGGACTCTCCCTGGGGCTGAGTGTGATGGGTATTGAATGACCCAGCCCTCTCCACTGGCCACTGGGGAGAAACACACCCACTGAGTCAGGAGTCTATCAAAGCAGGATCTTGTTTAATGGTGTCAGACAGGAACTTATATAGGGTTGTGATGGGGGTGGAGAAGCTTGGGAAGGGTTGAGGCAGAGTAAGAAATGAAGGCCAATAGTATTCTGCCATGCTAACAGTGGCTGGGCAGAGGCAGGTTTAGGTCAGGTAGCCAGGGACAGGTCTCCAAATTTGAGCTAGTCTCAGAAAGTTACACCAGGCCTCACCAAACTCAAGTTAGGCTCAGGAAGTGACACTGGGCCTCATACCCATGCCTCATGAGGCCCAACATCTGAGGGCATATCTGTGGGCATGTCTGTGAGCTTCTCTGTGAGGGATTATCTTGATTATGTTAACTGAGATGGGAAGACCTACCCACTGTGGGAAGGAAATTCTAGATTAAACAAAGATGGTGAAAGGTAAGGGCGGTTGCACCTATTTTAAATCCCAGCACTGAAGAGGCAGAGGAGTGCTGTGGGTCAATGGTTTGTACCATGTCTATTGTATTTTAATAAAACGCTGATTGGCCAGTAGCCAGGCAAGAAGCATAGGCAGGACAGCCAGACAGGAAGTAGAGGTGGGTCAATGAGAACAAGAGAATTTTGGATAGAAGGAAGTCCTAGTCTGTAGTAGTGACCCAGCCACAGAGCAAGTAAGATGTGACTGCCTTGCTGAAAATAGTACCAAGCCATGTGGCTAACATAGACAAAAATAATGGGCTAATATAACTTATAAGAGTTAATAAGAAGCCTGATCTAATGGGCCAATCAGTTTATAACTAATGTAGACCTCTGTGTGATTTCTTTGGGACTTAATGACTGTGGGAACTGGGACAAAAAACTCAGCCAACAGAGGAGGTACATTTGTGAGTTCTAGGCCAGCCTGGTCTACATGGTGAATTCCAGGCCAGTGAAAGCCACATGAGATCTGTCTAAAACACAAAAACAACCAAAGGAACGGAGGGGGAGCAGAGCTCAGTCATGCACACATTAGTTCTTTGCTCTCTGATTTTGATTTTGGATATAATAAGATTAGCTGCTGTGACTGTGATTTCCCACAAGGATGGGCTGTGGTCTTGAAATGTGTGGTAAGTAGGCCCTTTTCCCCATAAGTTGAGTATTTTATCATAGCAACAGAACCTGACGGTGTGGGCACAGAGGTCAGAGGACTCCTCTTTGGAACTGGTTCTGGGGATCAAACTCAGGTTCTCAGGCTTGATCACAAGTTCCGTCTACCCACTGAGCCCTAGGTTTTTTATTCTGAGACAGAATGTTGTAATGGTGACCCAGCATGGCCTTGAACACCCTCTAGCCCAGGCAGGCCTTGAGCTTTCAACCTCCTTCCTTAGCCTCCCAAGTAGCTGGGAGTGTAGGTGCAGTGCATCCACTGGAGTATAGGAGCACTGGAGGATAGGTGCAGTGCAGCCACTGGAGGATAGGTGCAGTGCAGCCACTGGAGGATAGGTGCAGTGCAGCCACTGAAGTATAAGAGCAGTGTATCCACTGGAGGATAGGCACAGTGCAGCCACTGGAGTATAGGTGCATTGCAAACACTGGAGTACAGGTGCAGTGCAGCCACTGGAGTATCACCACAGCTATGGAGATAGATACAGCATAGGAGTGCCCTCTGGAAAGTGGGGTGAGTGGGCTGTCAATGCTCCCAGCCTGTCTGTTAGGATCTGTATTCTGACACTTCAGAGCCCATCCTGAGGTCTGATCCAATAAAAGAATTTCCAGATTATCTTTTCAGGTTTGAGCCAAAAAGACTAAAACTCTGCTGCTGGAATATTGCTAGAGGTTACAGTCAGGCCACAGAATGTGTGTCGGTTTGCTAAGAAACCCTGCCTGGTGTGAGAATTCCACCTGAGACTTCCAGCTTTTCCAATGCTTCTGAGTTCCTTGTGTTGTGATAACCCCCAACCATAACATTAACTTCTTTGCTACTTCACACCTGCAATTTTGCTACTGTTATGAATCATAATGCAATATCTGTGTTTTCTGATGGTCTTGGGTCCCCCTACAGGTTGAGAACCACGGCTGGAACAACTGAAGCAGTCTGTCAGTCTCCCCAAACTCCAGCACCTTCCACTGCAGAACCCAATTGGTATAAAAGTACTATTACAATTAATAGAGTTCACTACTTTGAATCTTAATCTTTGCTCTCTCCATCATTACTGAGTCTGTGTAGAACTTGAGCGCCAACTCGGCCTCCTTCTCTGCTTTATCTATGCAGCATATATATGATTTCTCTCTGTCTGTGTGTGTGTGCACATGTGTGTGTGTGTATGTGTGTGTGCCTGTGTGCTGGGACCTTCAGAGACCAGAAAAGGGCTTTGAATTCCCCTGGATCTGGAGTTACAGGCAGCTATAAGCCCAGGGATGCTGGGAACTGAACTCAGAGACTTTGCTAGATCAGCATATACTCTCAATCACTGAGCCATCTCCCCAGCCCCCGGGATATGTATTTCAATTTCCTTATGACATTTGAAAAATTATTTTTGCTTATAATTGTTTACTTAAATTCCATGCTTTTGATCTTTTTAGCCTAAGGAGTCTAATGCTGATATTTCAGTGATGCTTATGATTATAGTGGCTCATAGTTTGAGCAGTGACACAAAAATCCCTCCATAAAATGGAATTTGGCTGTCCAGGTTAAGTACTAAGTTTCAAGGAATGAACTAAAGAGGGGGTTTCAGGGGCCACAGTAATGTGAGGATTGAGGTTGGCAGAGCTCTCTGTTCCCCAGACACAATTCCCCAGTCCCGTTCCTGGTATTATAGCTCAACACCAGTTGTAGCTACCCCTCACTCCTTCCCACATCTCCTGTATCCCGCAAACCATCGCCTCCGAACCTGCTTCTCCATGCTTGTTTCTTTGTCCCAGCACCACAAATGCAGCAGCCACACAACCTGCTGACCCAAGGGCTGCTCCTCCCAGAGCAACACGCAGGCTCAAGGCAGACCTTCTCCTAATGCTCTTGAGATTCCCCACCCCGGTCTCATTCCCAGTTCTGTTAGCAGAAAACCTGTTATGGTCTCCCTTTCCCATCTGACCCCATCCCCCAAGGGATCACAGAGACCTTCTCTTCCTACCTTCCTCTTCCCAGTATACCTGCCTCTTACACCTGTAAGCATACCCTGGAATCACCAGCTGAGCAAGCCAGTAAAACAGGCAACACACGGCCATCACATTCTCTGGAAACTCAGAGAGTAAATAGAAAAAAAAAAAAAAGAAAAAGGAAAAAAAAAAACCCTACCAATTCAACAAAGAGAAATCCAGAAATCAGCTCCTGGATTTAAAATCATCCCCAAACCAGATGTCAGTATAAAAACCACAATCAATATTAGCCAAGGCAATATGTCTCCACCAGATCACAACAGGCTCTGAATATTTCAACATAGATGAACAACAAGAAAATTATGAAGAAGATACAGGTCCTTAAAAAGGAAACATATAAATCCCTTTTAAAAAAAAAACAAGAAAAGAAGAACAGCTGAAGGCAGTGAATCAAACTGTTTAAGACCTGAGAGTTTCCATAGAAACAATAAAGAAAGCACAAACTTCTACAGAGGCATGCTTCACCAACAGAATATAAGAGATGGAAGAGAGAATCTCAGACATTGAAGATATGATAAAAGACAAGAACATATCAGTCAAAGAAAATCTAAAAAATTCCTGACACAAAGCATCCAGGAAATCTGGGACACCATGAAAAGACCAAACCTAAGAATAACAGGGATAGATGCAGGAGAAGAAACCCAGCTCAAAGGCTCAGAAAATATTTTCAATAAAATCATAGAAGAAAATGTCTATTAAGGTACAAGAAGCATATAGAACACCAAACAGATTGGGCCAGCAAAGAAAGGTCCCTCGCCACATAATTATCAAAACACTAAACATACAGAACAAAGAAAGAATATTAAAATCTGTAATGGTAAAAGGCCATGTAATATATAAAGGCCAACCTATTAGAATTACTCCTGACTTCTCAGTAGAAACTCTAAAAGTCAGAAGGGCCTGGACAGACTTTAAGAGACCACAGATGGCAGAATACTATATCCAGAAAAAAATCCATCACCATAGAGAAAATAAGATATTTCATGATAAAGTCAAATTTAAACAATATCTATCTAAAATCCAGCCCTGCAGAAGGTACTAGAAGAAAAAATTCAACCTAAGGAGTGTCAGCAGAATTTATCATGAGCTATTGTGGGCCATGATATAATTATGGCTTATAGAAATTGATAATTTAGATGCCAATCCACCAGAGAAATTATTCTCAGACAAAGAAACTCTGCTAAGCAGGGCCTGCAGGGCCACTGACTCTGAAACTGTTGCTTTCATCTGTAATTTCACTTGTGCAATAACAGCGATGTATCTCCTCAATACCATGCATCTTTCATGTGATGTTTACATGTAATCTCATGACTATGTCTCAGTCTTATGGGCACACATAGATCTGTGGCTGGTCAGAAAGATTTTAGCTATATAATTTTGCTATATAGAAATGTACTAGGACATGCTTCATAACTAGACCTATTTGTCCCACAATGTCTGTAGACATTTAAAATCCTGCTTGTTTCTTTTGTTAAGACTAACTGCACATAATTACCTTACTTTCACTTCAGAGAAAGTTCAAACTAGACTAAAACCTTTTTGTAAATAGACCACAACGTCAAAACTTTATAGCTGTGCACACAGTCTGAGTCGCAGCTGTCTAACCAACTGCTACAGAAAGCTCCCTGAGAAAAACATGCCAATTCTTTGCTTGCAAGTCTGCTGACAATAGACCTATGTCTCAAAGTTTGTCACTAGACACTGTGCCTCCCCTGTCTGGTCACAGTCTTACTGCTGTAACCTTGGAACCTTGTGTTGTCATTGCAAAGGCTCAGCTCCCTATCACTTACCCTAGGAATGTGTTTTTGATCAAGGACAGGTAAATCTTCTAGTTATTTTTCACTTCTAGGCTCCTGTAAGAGGGAAAACATTTGGAGGAAGAATTAGAATTAGGACAGGATAATTAGAATAAAAGCAGAACAATAAAGAGACTTATTTGAAAAAGCACAGAGGGAGAGAGTTCATTCATTTGCCCTCAGATACCCTAAGAAGAAAACTGCCTTTTTGTGTCCTGTAGTGACCAATCTGAATCCTGAAGAGAGTCTTGGGGCTGGACCCTAAAGGCTCCCATTGAAGGAGGTTAACTACACACATAAAAACACAAGAAATAATAATCTCACATTGCAAAAATCAAAAGAAGGGTAGTGCATGCGTACACACACACACACACACACACACACACACTACCACCACCTCCACTACCACCAGAATAACAGGAATTAACAATCATTGGCCTTTGAATCTCTCACTATCAATGGCCTCAATTCCTCAACGAAAAGACACATACTAACAGAATGTATGAGGAAATAGGATCTATCTTTCTGCTGCTTACGAGAAACACCCCTCAACATCAAGAACAGACCTCAGGGTGAAGGATTGGAAAAAAAATTTCCAAGTAAATGGACTTAAGAAGCAAGCTGGTGTAGCAATTCTAATATCTAACAAAACAGACTTCACACAAAAACCGATCAAAAGAGATAGAAAAGGACACTACATACTCATCAAAGGAAAAATACATCAAGATGACATTTTACTTCCTAACATCTGTGCCCCAAATACAAGGGCACCTGAGTTTGTAAAGGAAACACTACTATAGCTTAAATCACATATTGACCCTCACACATGGATAGTGGGAGACGTCAATACTCCACTCTGGACAGGTCACCCAGACAAAAGCTAAACAGAAGCTAAACAGAGAAATACTAGAGCCAATAGATGTTGAAAACCTTACAGATATTTATAGAACATTTCATCCAAACACAAAAGAATATTTCTCTTCTCAGCACGTCATAGAAGTTTCTCCAAAACTGACCACATACTCTGACACAAAAAAACTCTTAACATATACAAGAAAATGAAATAACTCCCTGAATCCTATCAGACCATCATTGACTAAAGCTGTATTTCAACAACAATGGGAACCACAGAAAGCCCACAAACTCATGGGAACTGAATAATTCTTGAAGTACCACTGGGTCAAGGCAGAAATAAAGAAATTAAAGACTTCCTAGAACTCAATGAAAATGGATGCACAACATACCCAAACTTATGGGACACAATGAAAGCAGTGCTAAGAGGAAAGTTCATAGCACTAAGGGCCTGCATAAAGAGTCTGGAAAGATCTCATACTAGCAAATTAACAGCACACCTGAAAGCTCTAGAACAAAGGCAAACACAGCCAGCAGTAGAGGGCAGGAAGTAATCAAACTGAGGACTGAAATCAATAAAATAGAAAGAAGAGAACAAGACAAGGAATCAATGAAACAAAGCATTGATTCTTTGAAAAAACAAATAAAATAGACAACCACTTATCCAAACTAACTAAAAGACAAAGAGAGAATATCCAAATTAACAAAATCAGAATGAAAAGGGGGACATAACAATAGACACCGAGGAAATCCAGAGAATCATTAAGGACATACTTTAAAAATCTGTATTCCACCAAATTGGAAAATATAAATTAATGAATAATTTTCTCAATAAGTACCACTTACCAAAGTTAAATCAAGATCAAATAAACAATTTTAACAGCCTACAACCCTGAGTAAAACAGAAACAGTCATTAAGAGTATCTCAACCAAAAAAAAAAAAAAAAACCCAGCGTCAGTTGGTTGCAGCACAGAATTCTACCAGTCTTTCAAAGAAGAGTTAATGCCAATACTCCTTAAAATATTCCACAAAATAGAAGCAGAAGGAACATTGCCCAGTTCATTTTATGAGGCCACAGTCACCCTGATACCTAAACTAAATTCAACAAAGAAAGAGTATTACAAACCAATTTTCCTTATGAACACAGATGCAAAAATTCTCAATATAATACTCATAAACCAAATCCAAGAACACATCAAAAAGATCATACACCATGATCAAGTATGGTTCATCCCAGAGATGCAGGGATGATTTAATATACAAAAATCGGTAAATATAAACCATTATATGAACAAACTAAGAGAAAAAGCCACATGATCATCTCATTAGATGTA